GCTGTGCTGTATGAGTAGCGCTTCCTCCCCGGCTCACGGCGAAGGAGTTCAAACTTGGGGCTTTTTTTGTCTTGGCGCGCAACACATCTTGGCTGCAATGCTTGTCGGCGACAAGGACGTGCTTGAAGAAGCGTCTCGTCGTCGTCACTAGCGTCTGCTGGCGAGTCACACAGATGGTGATGAAGGCAGGTCTGTCCCCACCCCTGGTGGACATCACAATGCCATTTGACTGCCACAATGAACATCAACCGAAGATGTGGCAGAAGGCGTGATGCAGTACTAAAAGCACGGTTGGCGGACAACGCCCCGACGGATGGCTAGTGAATTGGAGGATGGAGATGATGAAGCAATCACTCAGCTATTCTAAAGCTGTACCGTTCGTCGAGGGACTCCTATTTCCGCATGACTCATGGTTGTGAGCTACTTGAAGTACGCCCAGGGGCATACTTCGTCATTTCAGTGATCCCGAGGAGCGACGCTGGGGTGCTATTCGCGGGCGGTTTCGGGCGACCTCGTGTATAAGCGTGGACCTAAAAAGCTGGTAATGTGGACGACGACAATGACGACGGGCAGAAATGGTCAGGTACAGGTCAAAGACTATGTGTACAGTGGTTGGGTTTCATGACTAGCTCGGAGTCCAAGACGGGCAGACGCGGCAGCAATTGGATAGGACGGGGAATTGAATGCAGTGTTTCCGGGAGCTGGTCGCCGTTGACGGCGCAGTGACAGAAAGCGAGGCTTCATTTGGCTAGCTGGCTAGCCGGACAGCCGGGTATACGGGTAGATGGGTTGTGAGGAGGGTCGGAAGGATGACGCAGCCGCACCGAGGTAGCGGTATTCGAGCGGCACGGGGGGTCAGAGGATGACGGGAGGGGAAGGGAGGAGGAGGTTCGCGTTCTTCACAAAGGAGACGGATGCAAGATGTGGATGAAGCATAGTCGGAAAAGAGTATGCCAGCATCGATCAAGGTATCGGAGGCAGCTACAGGTTTGCAAGTCCAGTGCATGACAGCGAAGTGGTCCAGGAGAAGACGTCAAGAGTTGGGGTCCTGGTACTGTCCAAAACCCAGCATTTCCAGACCTGAGCACTTGATCACGGTAAAGAAACATGACACGAATACATAAATACGCGTGACCCCTCTGTGACGGACTGTCCTGATGATACCGCTGATGAAATTGATGCCGACCCTCCTTGATACATCCACCCGCTAGCTCCCACCATTTCCAAGCTCCAGGCACTGTCTGCACAGTCTGCCTCTTATCAAGTCTCCAACAAACTTAGCGTGCTTGTCGAGGCAGCAGGATAGGCCGGATTGCGAGGTTCGGAGTCTCGCAGGCTTCGGTCTCGGTGGGGTAACGGCAGCTTTGGCCAGGTTGTGCACTGCGCCGATAGTGAGGAGGTCGGCGGGAGAGGATGGAGCATGCCGGTTTTCGCGCTCGAGGTAGTCGGTTTCTTGGTTGTTGGAGCACCGACGGCCATGAGCTGTCGGTATCTGTTGAGCACCCGCCACCCGATGGTCTCGCTGAAGCAACGCTATGGTCGATGGTGTATTGACTACCGGGCCGCTTTTGGGGCTTGCAGTGGAGTCTTCGAGTGTTTTGTCGTTCCGAGAGAAGTTCCGTGGGTTGATGATGAATGCGGCGCCTCTCTGTGGATGACTCTTGCGGGTTCACGTTGCGCGGGAAAAAGAATATCAGCGAAGGAGAAGTCGCAAAGCACTCACTGGGAGGCTTCGGCAGGTGAAAGGGCATTGTCAGCGGGCAGGAGCCGCTCTTCCCTTCAAAGCAGGCTTCACCAGCACCAGACGGAAACCACTTTACAAACGGCAGGAGCGAAGCTTTCCCGGCATCACCCAGACAGAGGTGGCCACCCGACATTTCTCCCAGGTGTCGCCGGACGTGCCACCAAGATTGACAGGACACATTGCCTTTGTCGCTATCTCGCATCGGAGCGACTCGTCTTGCCTTGTCCTGCGTTGAGCTTCTTGTTCTGCTGTCCTCCTCCCTGTTGGCCTTTGCGTTCTCGAATTTCGACCTACCAGGGAGTTCAGCGACCACCAACATCACCAACATCGCCCGCCGTCCCACGCAAAAGGATAGGGACCAAAGCAAATGGAGACGCCAAGTTTCCCAGCTTCGAGAATTCGCCAACCCCAGAGGACTGGTTCCGATGGATCGACTCCAGTGCAGGCCGCAAGCACGTCGGCACCGTCAAGGCCAGTCCTGGCTACTGTTCCATCAAGTTCACGTTCTCCTTTTGGGTCTGGGAACCGCCAAATTGCCGCCTGCAGGGGTACTAACACCCTCGCCGGATCCAAATCGAAGGCCAAGCGCAAGATCGACTGCCAAATCTGCATTGCTATGAACGCTGCGGCTGCTACGAGTCACACAAGCTTCGACGATACCGAGAACGTTGCAGTCAATAGTCGATTCCCGCACTCGTCTCTCATCATAGCACACCTTTCAAACTCCCTTCTCTTCGACCTGTCGACGACGTACCCTTCAGATTGCTCACAGGGTCTTCGCCTTTCTCTACGTCGTGTCAAGCTCTGCTCAGGCCTCTCCACCACCACGAGCGTCTCCGCGAGGACCTCAGCTACAACCCCCCTATTTCCAAGCGCGCCTACTTCGTAACCTCTGCTGTTGATGATGATGATGAAGAGGGAGAGGATAAGCAGCCTGAGTCTGGCCGTGACCGAGACGGTGATAAGTAGAGGGCTGGAGTCCTGCTTTCCGACGAGGGGACTGTCGCCAGCAGCCGTTACATGGACGATGAAAAGGACAAGCAAGTCTCTGCGGTCTTCGTCAGCTTCAATCAAGAGGACGCTCGGCACCGCAAGGTAAGCGCTGATGATAAACCACAGCTGGATGAGGCGTGGGTTAAGTGAGCCGAGAGGATCATCACTCTACCGGTGCCTATTCGCTGGGTTAGCAACGGCGATCTCTAGCCCATCGCATTGGAGCAGTGTCACATCGAGGTCTTGGTGGGCAGGCAATGCAAGAGGCATCAAAGTTGAAGGGTTTTTGAGTAGCAAGGAGACAGTCAAGTAGCCCGTCGATTACCCCGCAACTTCATCGAATGTCGTGCGTCTCCTATAAAGGTCACAGGTGAAGCCCTGGCATCTCGATCTTGCGGAACCGAGAGTGTGGGACGGAACTGTTGCCATTGTTGAACATTTTTTGGCGGCTTTACTTCGTCGTCCCCTCCGAGTTCCCTGCAGGCTATAATGCTGGGCGGAGTTCGAAAATCACGATGCAGCGAGTAGTAAACTATTGTATCCCATTGAGGAGACTGTTGCCCCCTGTTTCTCGTACTCTTGGATCCTCCTCAAAGGCAATTTGCAGGCCGAAGGCCCTTTCATGGATCTGTGTCTCTTTGGCGGATTGCCTGGTCACCTTCGAATGCGGAAGATTGGGTGCGCTCGTTGAGTGGTGAGACGAGGATGTGGGCCGAAGTCCCCCAGAGGGCTGGGAATTTGGACAAGGCATGAGCTGGATTCGTAGTTTCGTAGGCAATTTCCCGTGGAAGCATCGTCAACGCTGTCTTTCAGTTTGCAATTATCGCAGATTCCGGCCATTCGTGACTGTCGTCAAAGCGGAGCGTAGGTCAGGTCGGGTTTCTGGCCTCAGGGGGTTACGTTGGTGAGCAGGTACTGCCCCAGCGCAGAGGCAACTTTGCCAGGGGGGCTTCCAGCAGATGGCCCACTGAAAGGATTGGTACCTACCGATTTCGCACCGGGAAATCGGGAGGTATGGACTTGTTTCAGGGGCCCGGGCAGTTTTTCGCCGTGCACTGAGTACCTACCTAGGTAAGGTACCTCTGCGGGGCTCACGGATAACCAACGTGACGCGTCGCGTTGGAGCGCTGAATAACCCAGTAGAACACCACTTCCGCCCATGCTGGCCAATGTGCTGCTCTAGCAATTGACAGGGCCTTGGGCGCCCCCAAAGCCCATCGCCCGTCTTGCTTGTCGGTCGATGATGGCTCACACACCGCGACTGAGCGCGGTCGATGCTCCCGAAGGGAAAATGATTTAGGTGGGGAAGGTGGAGTGACGTCACGCAAGTACGTTGGGCAGGCACCTGCAGTGTCCTTCCATTTACCGTCGCGACCGCTGAATCTCATCTCCACTGGAAGGTGCCGAGAGCGCATCTGCCTCGCCAGAAAACAAGTCAGGCGCGTGTTCGGACAAAGTCATCCATTTTGGTTCATTGCCCAATCGGCCGATTTCACCAACCCCAGCTAGTGTTCTGGCGCACCATTGCCTACCGGTTCTGGAGAACGATCGCCCCGAGAGTCGCTGAGTGGCATCCCTGTCTCACAGTCGGGCCGGGCCGCTGTCATCTGTAGGCGCCAAAAGGAAAAAAAAAACCAAAAAAAAAACCACTACACGCTGGGCACTGCACACCTTATTTCAACTTCCACGCCTCCTGACAACATCTTCCCGAGGCATCCCGATCGCTGACCACCCCGGAGAGAGCACCTGCTGCCACCCGAAACACCAAGAAACGCCCTCAAAAGTCCACTACCATCTGCATTCATTCCACAAAGAAACAAAGCCAATTCAAAATTGCCTGCCTGAGCACTACGATGGATCGCCTCTCGAATCTCCCTCCTGAGATACTCTCCGGCATCGCCGAAGCCCTTGCGATTCCTGATCACAACGCCAATCTCGACTTACGGAGCCTGGCCCACCTGACTCTAGTGTCGCGCATACTGCATGGCGTCGCGAACCCCATTCTCTACAAGCATGCCATCCTGTGGGACTGGTATATGCTCTGCCCCGGCAGGTCCTGGATGTCGGTTTCCATCCACCCTGCAAACTCCGTTGCTAACGGCGCCAGGCGGTTTCTGCATGGCAGTCGGGCCATAAGCCCCCCAGACTATCGACGGCTCTTTGGGCCTCCAATGCCAAAGTGAGCAACCTTCTCGCTCCTCAATCTTGCCCGCGCGTTTCTGACGATGGCAGAAAACTTCCCGCCAATCGGGTAGGTGTTCTCATGGCCGCTGCGCTCTCCGGCGATCTCGTTCTCCTGTCTCGTCTGGTTGCCTACATTCCGCGCGTCCTCCGACCTCTTGACACCGCGCCAGTCTTGTCCGCTGCATTCTACGTCCCCTGGCGGTGCCCGACCAAACGCCACATGGACCCTGAAGATGGCCAGCCATATGCCACTCTCCTCCATGCAGCTGCAATGCGAGGCGACAAGGACATGGCCCGCTGGCTTCTCAGACGTGGAGTCTCGATTGACCCCAGCGCGTTGCTGGATTGTCTCTGCCCGTCGCCCTACATGAATGCTATTTGCACGACAGGCATGTGGTCTGCCGGAGGTGGCGTCGAGCCAACATCCCTACACTTGGCGCTCGCACACGGGAACGAGGCCATAGCCAAACTTCTGATCAGCAAGGGAGCTGTATGGGACCGGCCGCATAGCAGCTGTGGAGGTCTCACGGGGCTGCATGTTATGGCTGCGGGCCGTATGGTGGATATGATGGAGTGGACCATCGACCAGTGCCACGGCCCACTCCGAGATACGATTCTACGCAATGGACCAGTTCACGACTGGCCAGACGAGGCTGGGTGTTGGAGCCTTCACTACGCTTGTTTCTCCGAGGATCTCAAGGGGAAAAGTCAGGACGGAGAGGAAGGCGAACTTTCAGCTGTGCACATGGTGTCCAGACTCGTGAGGCTGGGCGCGTTGGTCGATACGACGGACCGCGCTCAAATAGCACAGCGCGTGTCGGACGAGAGAAAACGGATCGAGAAAGGCCCCAAGCCGCACTGGAAGTTTGACAACAGCGCTGACATTGAGTGGGCGCAGCGCATTGAAGATTGGAAGCATCACGAGATTCCGATGCCCAAGCCGGCAGTGTTTGCAGCACAGCGCAATCAATGGCGACTTGCATGGATAATCTGTAGGGCGGGGTCCGTCTGAAAAAGGCATCTGGATAGGATGGCTTATGGCGCCGGCAGCAGCGTATCCTCTCGCTCAGTGGTGTCGCCAGATGCCCCGGAGGACACCTCACGAACGGGCAAAAAGCTTCGTCGGGATACATGTTAGCGGAAACACGGACGGCGCGTGGTTGGGACACACGGAACGGAAGGAAAAGGGAGCTGACACTCGTGGAAGACTGCAGTGTGCTTTGGTGGGCTCCACTTTTGGGCATTTGGCAGAGACGAAAATGGAGCACTCCCAATGACGACGTCCGATACTGAGAGCGAGGCCAAGTGGCCGGGGGACGCTCAGGGGAGCAGGCGCATTGTTGTGTCTTCTCTTTGGGGCAGTCAAGGTAGTCAAGGTAGGCGCGAAAAGCAATTGTCAGTGTTGCACAATACTGAACGGCCGGGTGATGGGGGTGGGTGGAAGCAGAGACGCACTGGACAAACAGGGACTTTTCGGAATGCGAAGTAGGCACTCATGTCTAGCAAGATCGACAAATAGGAGAATCACCATCTTTCCTCTACCTTTTGCTTCGGCGTCGGCTCTCGTGTCTTTCTCTCGTGTCTTGCCGTCGCTGCGTTCTTTCCCTTCACACAGAGGGTCCGTCCACAGCGCCTCTCAGTGATGTGCGAGTGTGTGCAGGCGCGACGTGGACATGGCAAGTGCGATGTCCATCGAAAGGTGCCAATTGACATGGAAGCCACATTGGAGGAGAGCACCTGCATCTCAGGTGCCTGCGGGCAGAGTCTGCAAGGCCATACCACCGCCTCATGCCCTACCCCTCTTTTCCCTTCCCCTTCTACAGCCATCATCATCCTCACGTCTCGGTGTTGTCTGTTTGTCGTTCGTTTGTTCGGTTTCTCGGCCTCGGCCAATGTTGAATTCTGTTCTGTGTGGTCTTTTCTTGCCTGGTGTCTGACTTTCGCCTCGCCTCGCCTCACCTCACCTCACCTTACCTCTCTCGACCTCAACCACCATGGCGAACCGCGACAACCAGTCTGGCGCGAACCGCGGACGACTCGTATGTGTTTCTGTATTATCCAACCCCTTTCTACAGAAAAGCCTCCTATGATTTTCATTTTCACTCCAAATATAATGCGGAGCCTGGCTAGACCAACGTGTCTTATATCAATCAACTCTAGATCATTTGTCGTCTCACATAAGTCCGACACTAATATTGCCAACAATATAGAACTTCATTGATGCATATCCCCATACCGCCGCCCCCACCGCCGATGTCGTGTCTGCCTTCATCAACGACACCATCACGCCCGCCGCCGCTGTTCGCCCACAAGCTGCCTCGCGCGCTGCGGCTTCCTTGCTCGCCTCTGTCGAAGGCCATGGACGACAGCTTCACCAACACCTCCGCGAGAATCCGTCCGTTGCCGCCAAAGACATCAGCGCAGAGAGAGGTCTTGCGACTCTCCAGCACCGTTGGGGAGCTCACCGCTGGGTTCCCGCTGCCTATGCTCCTAGACCGCCCATCGCCCCCCTCATCATCCGCAAGATGGTCTGGATCACCGACAAAGTGCTTTCCCGCCCTGGCGCCACCACCAACGACTGGCCGCTCTTTGGGCTGGCTCCCCACGAGACCCTGAGAATGCCGGGCTGCTGCTTCAGGCTGTCATCACCTCCGGGGCCTCTAACCCCACCAAGGCCGTAGCTACACAAGCCGCCAAGATGCTCGCTGCTGAGCTTGCCGTCGCCGATGCTGAGGTTGTGAGGGTCCAGCGCCTGCACGAACAAGCTGCCGAAGAACGAGACTGGGCCGAGCTGGAGCTCCTCCACCAGGAAGAAGCCGCCGCACAGCGCATGCTCGCTCTCCACGAGGCTGAGATGGAGGAGGCCGCAGCAGAAGCAGAAGCCATGGGCCTGATGCAGGATGCAGAGGAGCGCCATCAGCAACAGCAGCAGCAACAATGACGCTTTTCTCGACTTCCGCTACGACGACGCGCGCGACGACTACAACCCCCTTTTCGGCGATGACAATGATATCCCCTTGCGCGACCACAACATCCCCCTCGTTGGTAACGAGCCCCATGGCCCCCCTGCCCCGAGTTCCGACGATGACCCTTTCAGGAGCTCGCCCGCCCGCCCTGCTGTCCGGTCTGCTCCCGGCGCCGTCCGATCCCGGCCCGAATCCGACTCAGAGTCTGATGCGCCCCCCCGCCAACGCCGCCGCACCATTTCCGTCTCTTCTGACCGCGACTCCGACTCCGACTCCGACTCCGACTCCGAAGAGGCCCCCCAACCCCCGCCCGCACGCCGTGTTCGCCGCCCTAGGGCACCCCCTGCGAGCCAGGAGGAGGAGCTTGACAGGATTGCCCAGCGCGTGTACGACACCACCATGTCCCAGCTTAGGCAAGGCACTTTCACATCCCGTATGCGGCTTGCCGATCGTCAGGACATCGCATGGCACGCACGAGCTGCTGTTCTCGACACCGCTGTCGCCCAAGAGGAGGGCATTGCCGAGCCCAACAACGAACCTCGCGCCGGCCGGGCCTTTGAGGACGAGTTGAGCTCAGAGTACGATGAGGAGTTGATGCGAACGCCGCCGGTGCGTCGGGCTGGAACCATGTTCACCAGCTTAGTCTTCGATTCAGACGACGAGTAAGGGTTTTTGGTATGTTTCGTGTTCTGTTTGCTTGCGTTTACTGGCGCCATTGAGGCCGTTTATCGTTTTCGTTTTGTTGTTCGTCTTTGCTTTCGAGCTCGTTTGAGACTTGCTGTTGTTGCGGTGGTGCTTTGCTGTCGGTTCGTGTGTTGTTGTCTGTTTGGTCGCCTTTGTTTTTTACTTCTTTTCAAATGGGAGTCTTGAGCTTTCCTGGTCGTCACTCTAGCGCTGCGCTGCATTTTACTCGTTATCCGCATTGATTTTCCCGTCATCTGCGTGCTGATTTGCTCATGACTCCCGATGATTTACTGAAGCTTGAGACCAAGGTGGTTTTATAGCATCAGCAGCGCTTACTGACTCATCCAAGAGGACTGACTACCTCATTCACTGACTTGAAGTAGAATACCAGACGAAAGAATATCATATATGTCTCGCAGAAACTTAAAACAATCCGATATCAAGTTAACTAACGCAATCATAGTGAACAGAATGCGTCATAAAATGGGCCAGAACAACAAAACCTCGTCTAAAAACTTACCCAAATGATTCACGTCGTACTGAGGAAATATTCTGCCGCACCACTAAACCCCAAGTGAACCAACCAGACGCCAAAGGATTCATTTTTTCGACACTCAATTGGCTGCCATCATGTCCTGCCCTCATTCAAGGGAGAAATGAAAAGAGGGAAATATCCATCATGGTCCGTATCATGAAGCTGGCATTCCAAAGGTCTCCAATCAGCTCGCGAAAAGTCCTCATGTATTATTCTTTCTCCAAGCACTCGATCCTGACAGTAAATGCGTTTCGGCAAAACACAATCCTCCAAGCTGCTCACCTGGTGTGCCCGAATGAGCCTTTTAATATGGCGGCTGGCGGCGGTCTTACTTCTTGGGTAAATCAATAAAGCTAGCTATATTGTTGTCTTGGAGACGCGGAGGCATTTGAGTAGTTTTGATGCAAAGTCGACAATCTCAATCACAGCAATGCAATTTACATCATAACGCCTACTTATTCTGATAGCGGTGGCAGGTTCATTTCTCTTTGATAGCCCTGTACCTTCTCAAAGGTCTTCATCGCAGGTTTGAGCTTGTGCGGGAGCCAACCTGTCCAGGAATTTTGCGCAGCAGTTAGTGGTGGTTCTTCTCCCTCAGTGCCCAGAGAGGAGCAAAACCCTTCCTTTCTCTTATGAGGCTGGGGACGAATATGGAATTGTTACATAGAGATCATCTGCAAGGCAGAGTGCAGCGGTGCCATAGAGACCGAGAGCCTGAGTGTTGACAGCGAGCGAATTCTCGAAGGGACTATAGTATGTGACCAGGCTTGTGGTTGAACATGTTAATGGCCCGTAAACAATTTAAGGTCTTCTGGAGCACACTTACGAGAGATAATCAAACATCAACTGAACATAACTGGCTTTAATATTCTACTTAGGAGGTTATCGTAAGGATGATCAAAGTAAATGGCCATGTTGATCGCGAAGGCCAGGTTCAATACATCTCACAAATCTCACGCTTGAGTAAGATATCTCAATCATGTCCAATAGTGCACTTTGCGGGCTTCAATGAAGCAGAGCCATGTCTTCCTTGAACTCACTCCTCCGTGTCGCAGTGACCGGGATCGGTGCACCGCCCGCATGCCGAGTGGGTATTCCGGGGCCGGATAAATGGGCCCAGGCGCCGTCAGTTCGGTGGTTGGCCGGACGTAATTACACAGACAGCTGCGGCAAGACATGTCGGCCGCTGGTATGAGTGGCCAAATGGGCGGAGGATACCAACAGGAACAACAATCACATGGGAACCCCACCAAGCGCCAAGGGTACACCCCTTGCTCAATCACATCCTTCATTTCACACATGCAGGGATCTTGCGATGTACCCCAACAAGCCAGTCATCTCAAGCGGCTAAGCTGAGCGCCCAAGCTCAGTCAAATTCAGAATATGATACCCGAACTCTGGGATCTGACTGTTGCAATCATCTTCGCATTGGCTCCTTTGTGCTGAATGGGTCAGAAAAGAAACAGACAAAAGAAAAAAAGGTCCAGTATGTACACCACGTCGGGCCCGGAGTGGGCCCCGAACCAACAATGAGATCCCCACCTCTGAGGTCATCATGAGGACCAACAACACAACGAAACCACCCTCCAACAACCCTTTTGTCAGCAAAGAACCGGGATCTTGCCTTTTTGAGAAAGCAAACACTACAAGCAATCATTCCGCTCCCTGAAAGGTCCCCAACACACCCGAAACGACTCCAACCCTGAAAATAGAAGAGTGGCGACTCTAACAAGCCGGTCACAATGTCCACAAGACATTGCGACTTCGATACAGTCGTCCCTACATATCCCGTGCGTTGAGTGACTGGGAGAAGGTCTCACGAAATCTCCTTCGCTCAGAGGTTGGCTCCAACCACCACTTCATCCTTCGACTTCGGCTGACGCGTAAATATTCCAGATGCCGACCGCAGAGCCCCTTCCCCAGACGGCTATGACCCCCTCCGCCGCGATCTCGAAGGCAGAATTGCTTTGCAAGAAATGCAACCAAGTATTCACAGTCTGGCGAAACGCGCACGACGCTGGAGTCGACGACAGTATGGACTGCATCCGTGCATCCAGCGATACGGACTCTGTGTCGGGCAACGCACAGAAGGGCACAGAGAGCGACGCTGCATTCGACCCCGTCTCCGTCGACTGGGAAACAAAGCTGGTGCCACGCGACAATAATGAGGACGACCTGTGGAGTCCAACCACGGAGCTTCACTACCGGCGCGCTTCAGAGATACACAAAGTCCGAAAAGTAGAAGCACGCGCAAGTAGAAGGCATCGCAAGCCCCAGGCAGAGGACAGGCCCCATGTATGGAGGCCGGCACGCATCTCGCAAGGGGCAAGGAGGCGAATGCGCCGTGAGAAGGAAGAAGAGCTGGTCTCTAGAGCCCAGGCTGAGGGTGCCAACAGTCGCGAATGGAATGTCGTGGTCTCGCAATCTTGCACCGGGATGGTGATGGACTTTATGGTTGGCCATGACAGCTGACTTTGGCTCGCCAGCTTGCGCTTCATGCTGGAAGCGTTGAATGCTGTGGAGACGTTTGAATTTCCCTGGATTATCTGTGTATTATTTCGTTACATACTTGGGGCTGGATAAGTATCGATACCGGACTCCTTGCTTGTATTGTGTTTTCAATGCGTCCAGCGAAGTCTGTAATACTACCCTTGACACTTTGATTAATCATTGTACCAATTGCCTCCACATTTTTAAATTCTTCATGCTAGCTCTCACAGCGAGACAAGTGTCCGAGACAATCGTGGCCTTTCACACTCATGGGAATGGTCGGGGTCAAGCGATAGGTTCAGCTGCGTCGCCTCCCACAGGTGACTCAATACCAGTGTAGAGGTCTATGAAAGACTCAACAAGAGCCCCCATTAACTGATCTCTGCTCGCATTCTTTGATGATAGTTGGCTGCGTACTCTTGGAATCAACATTGCCAAAAGCAGCTGTTGTACACAACTGATGAATGAAGCCATCATGCCGATGAATGAAAAGCATGCGACAATGGTTACTTCACCTATCTTCCAAAGATTGATCATTAGCACTTGCATTTGCGGCCAGTCAGTCGAGTCATCTCTTGCGCGCAGCAACATTCTTAAAGGTAGCTTGAGTCGGAGAGGTTGGCAAAAGAAGGCAACTGGCTACATGACTTGAAAAAGAGAAATATGTTTCTAATGAGCGAAAATACGTAGCGAACGCTCAGGAGTTCTGCTCGATACCCATAGCAACATCTCACAACTACTCAGGTTCTCCTGGTGATGTTGTCTGGGATGCTGGTGGTAAACACTGGCAGATCAATTTCTGTAATGACGTACAAGAATGAAAGAGGCAGGGAGAATGAGAAGATGGGGGCCAAAGACCATACATTTGTGATTGATAGCCAGAATGAAAAGCAGGATCAAACAAAAACAGGCGGCAGTCATCGTCCATGTCCGCCCATAACGCCGCCTGCCTCTTTGATGGAGAGGTTGCTTGAACGTAGCCTTAGTCGCACCTTCCTTGGAGGATTGTTGTTCTTTCGCGGAGTCGCGTCGCGTAAATCTCTGCGCCAGGCCATTGACTTGCTGGTTTTCGAATCGCGCTCAACTTCTAAACCCCCACTCTTCCACCACCACACTTGGGGTTTGACGCCATCCCGAATATCTCCATCGTCTCCTCCGCGTCATTCAGAACGAAGAAGGGTAGGCTCAGATATCTCGATCCATTTCCGAGCGAGTCTATCAATCGATTTTGACTTTGACGTGCAGATGGCAGGCGCCAAACGAAGCCCGAAATCGGCCAAATGGACCGCCGACAAAAAGAAGGCCTTTCGAGCCAGGATGACCGAGGCGAAAGCCAACAAGAAGGCAGCTGCAGCCACAAAGGCATCTCGAGGAAAGAAAAATGCAGTGCAAGCTCAGCAAACGAAGAAGACTGCTCGCCGTCCTGACGCGAACGACTCGGAGCCCAAAGACAACGAGAGCATTTTGACTCGGTCCGCAGCTCAAGCCAACACGAATGCAGAGCAAACCAGGCCGACCAGGGAGAAGGCTTCCAGACATGGAACACACATGAAGGACACCCAAGGTGGAGTCGAGCATGGTAGAAAGACTCGATCTGCTTCTCACGCAGAACAAGTCCAGGTGAGGCAGCAAATGCTTTCCAACGTTGCCACTGAAGCTGAAAATCGCATGAAGCATGTTGCATCAGACGCTACTACCGTCGACGAGCTCGCCGAGCTCACCGAGCTGGAGCGTAAGCATGATATATGCGCTCGATCGATGCAGTCGCTCGACCTGTTCCACCGTGAACGCGTGGAGCGTATTCGTCGATTCATCTCTGTGGTCCAGCGAGACAAACATCTGTCGGCAACTCGGTACGAAGACCCTCTCAGCCTCAGAGAGGAGCCGGCTGCCGTCACAGTTCAGCGTGATCTAGAGGAGGCCAGGTACAACGACGCGCTTGGGATGATCAAGGAATATGCGGAGGAGGTTTTGGAGGATTACAAGTCGACTGCTTGGGGAGACACAGCGAATGAGCATTTTCAGGAGCTGCGGAGGACTCGAGAACGCCTGCAGGCTTTTCGTGGACGGGGTTCAGAATGATTATTCTCTGTTTTGCCCTTAATATGTCAGAACGTCTTCCCTCTTCATTATACGGGGATTCTTTGGTCTTGGCGTCTTTCCTGCTCCGCAGGTTTCCCCTGCGCGTCTGCCAAGGTTTTATTATATCTCCATATTTGTACCAAGCCAACCCTGCCTGGGGAACTATTTCCCTACTGAAGACATGTTCGATCCGTCTGTACGGCCTCGAGCCCCCAAGAGGGCTCATTGATGAGCCATCACGACCACTGAGTTCATGCACTTCTGTGAATGTCTAAACATACTTTTGAATGCCTCTATTTGCGATGGAGCGAAGGTGTTGAAGAAGGTGGGAAGGGCTCTGGCAAGAAGGATCAGACCATTCCATCAGCTTCCCCAGCCGCCCATGATGTGTAATGCCTCTAAATTCTCAATGATGTAAGACTGAGAAGACCTTTGCATAGAGGTCGCGAGGCCGTTGATGGCCTGAAATTATTGACGGCGATCGCATATTAGCATCGGAGTGATATCGGCACGCCTCGACTTCGGAGCAGGTGGATTCAACACTTTCCTCCTTACTTGCCAGACAGAATGCTCTCTTTGAGAACCACTGGTTGTATTCCATCGTCCATCGTTAATCTCACTTGGGCACTTGGGTAATCCGTACATCTGCGACGGATTGCATCGACTGTCTTCATATTGATCGATGCTCTTCTTTTGGTATGCCCGTCATCTCAATACGGATCGCCAGACGTACTTCGCCAGCACCAAGCGCACCAAGTGGCTTCACCAGAGATTGAGTCATTTTCCATTGCAGAAATGACCGGAGGATTATTGACGGCTAGTGCCAGCTATTGAAAACTTCTTGCCGTTGGGAGATTGGATGCCAATATGCTCTTAGTGCCACACGTTGTGACCTACGAGGGCATTCCCGTTTGCGATTGTCAATTCCATCGTGATTGAGGGTACCTGATGAATCAAGATGGCTAACAGTATTCAGCTTGTCGCGCACGCTTCGCAGTGTCTGAATTGTTCATAGAAGAACGGATGGGCGCTCGTAGACGTCATTGCTTACTTCTGCCACACATGAGACCCTGAAGGAGACGAGGCCAAGGTTTATATGGCAATTGAAGACGACCAAGCATATTCCTACCTGCCCTAACAAGGTGCGCCTCCAGGCGGCAAACTGCGAACAAAAAGTGAGAAGGAAAGAAAGATGGATAGTGCCTTGGTTGGTTACCGTTGGATACTCAATATTCTTCTTGTCCATCTTTGAGGTTGCAAGTTCGAACCCCTTCAAAGGCGATTTTTCTTCTTTGGCACTGTCCCTGTTTTGCTGCTCGTGTTAGTTTGCAGGTGACTGCTACAAAAAGTCCTTTTCTCAGCATTCTCACTATTCTCAATTTGACGGCGCCCTCGTTTTGTTCAGCTGACACCCTCTCATTCGTCAAAACTTCTCTAAATGTCGAGTTTCGCCCTGCTTACCGCTACACCAGAACAATAAGGAATCCCGTCCTTGGTTTCTCGGGATCAGCTTTTCTCACATCCGCGTACTGTCTGGGCCAACCACGGGATTCCTTCCAGTATTCGAGGGGAAAGCATTGCGTGAACCGTCGCCAAAACCAGAGTGATGTGCACGATGCTCACCGCAAGTTCTAAGCCCTGTTCATCGACAGGATTGGTGAACATTTGCGGTTCGACCCCCGGAACTCTGTTGAAGGATTGGCATTTGTGTGGTCCCTGTTCTGTTTGGTGATTTCAGCACTCACCTTCAACTTTGACCTTCTCGACGTCATGAGAATGGGGGACTGTCTGCCTCAAGTCGGCTATTGAGGGGCAACTGGGGAAATACATCCGCTCACTCCCTCTCTTCTGCACCGCATCCCGACAGCTGCTTGCCCGTGGAAAACATCTTTGGCAAGTCGGGAGTTCAGTTTCTCATGAGCGAATCACTCGAAGAAAAGTAAACACTCACCGACTTGTGAATGCCCACTAATTTCGACCGACCAAATTTCTTTCGTTCCCGGAAACTGGAACATTCTTTTACTCTGCTTCGGATGGCCCCCTGGCCATACCAATCGCCGCCAGGCACCGCTAGGCAGCTTTCTTTGTCAAAGGTTCGCCATTCTCAAGACCTACTCAGGATGGTGAACACGGCTATCCCGTCTTTGCCGCCCAGCAGCCACAATTCGATGCGAACCACCCTCGCACCCTCTGCGTAGAGGGCACATCTGATCTGCGGTCATCGTGGTAATATGAACGGTAGCCAAGTCACCGCGGAAGACAGCCGAAACAATCAAATTTATCCCGTGGATCTGGCCGGGTGAAATCGCCACCCAGACACTCACCTAGAACCCGCAAATGCGATTTGCCGCCTGCGATCTAGATTCCCCCATACCCGATCTCTCTCGCTGATGCGAGCATTCTCAAAGTTCCAAGCCAAATGATTTCATTTCTCCAATCAAGAAGCGGGAAGATCATTTCCTGACGGTCGCAAGGTTGCGAAGATTGGGGGGGAGTGGGGGAAAAAGCTAACGCCATCTTTTTCATCTGGCCTCACTTCGCCTCACCATCTGACGCAGTCCTTATGTATCCTTCCGTTTCGTTCTCAAAAGTCGCCACTGACGTTTTCCACTAATGTTGAGACAGGCTCCGCCGCTCCTTTGACCCGCCGGCCGTCGTTGGGCACACCGAACACACGAGTTGCTTGGGAATGCCCCAGACTGACCCCTGTGAGAGATAAAGACAACATGACGGATGATGCGATAATTAACCTCTAGCGGCTATCTCAGAGTGCTTTACTGGCAGTGCCTTGATTTCAATACTCACCTTGCGGCCTTGATGATCAACCAAGTCCTTGGAGCTTTGAGATTGCCCAGGGGCGACCTCGAGAACTTTAGCTTGCGTGCCAGGAAAGTTGACTGAACACTTCGAACCCCGTAGGAGCAGCAGCTAAACTACCGTCAATTCTGTTTGCGGGAGAGTGTTGAGGTGTTTCCATCTGCCAAATGCGGTTGTGCCAGAGACCCCTTTCCAACACCGCACCATCCGCTTGGTGACTGTGCAAACGACCACCACTCTGTGAAGGCTTGCTTGATACAGTCAGGCTGGGGCTGTGAGCTAAAAGTTCGAAGCTTTCTTTGAGGTGTCGACCAGTTTCCTATTAGTACAGCGCGACTGCAAATATTCCGACTTCAGCTTGCTGTACGTGTAGCGAACGTGCTTTGCAGTCTGCAGGTCAATGTGACCGACCGTTCTGTTCGCAGAATCATCTAGCGCCTACGAAGCCCGTCGCTTGCTTCGCAATATATCGCTCGTTCCGCATTTCCACAAGGTACGGCGAGGGCTCTGAGTACATACTATTGGATCGTCATGGCCACTTGGCTATCAGCGGCGCCAGAACTGCCGTGTCACCCACTTCGACAAGAAAACTACAAGCCATTAGAGCTAGACACAGGGAAAATACTGCCTAGATAGACGGTTGGGCTAGCTTACACCAGTGTTCTATATCTTCCTGAAGAAAACACCGAACAGGTCCAAGTCCTATAGCATGAACAGATTCTGGTCGTGTGTTGCAATCCATGGATCTTTGTTCTCGGCATTCCTTGTTCAGGAGGTGTCAAAAGACACATGCAGAGGTTCGAGTCATCCGCTTAATCAACCAGACCCAAGCCCTTCCTCAAACACGTTATGGTCCTGCTTCCGCCATGCGCTTGATCAATATAAGTGTGTTGTCGACAGGCTTGAACAGTCATCACACCAGGACTATGCAGCGTAGCAGCTGGTCAGATTTGACTCAGCCAAGTACCTATTTTTTGAGCACGTCGTTCGGTAGCGTTTAAGGAATGACGAGCACCTCGGCGTCTCCGTGTGGACGTTGAAGTGGATGTTCTAGTATGCCATGTCCCAGCCTGTGTCAAGCTTCCTCCCTGGCTTCCTAGAAGGCCACTGACCCAGGAAATCATGGCGCGGTTCACGAAGCCCCATGTTGAGTCAAAGAAGGGCCAACGGACTCCGCAAGATTAGCTTGGCCCGAGGCATAGGTAGTCGCTGTCCAGTGCCAAAGCCAAGGAGCGGCTCACAATTTCTACGAAGTTCGGCGACATGACCGCACACGACGAAGAGCAAATTGCATGATTTATATCAGAGAAGAAGACTGCTAGTAAGAGGGATAGTCCCTGTAACGAGGACACCAGGTTGATCTGTCTGTCCTTTGCCGCGCCGTTCAAGTTGAAAGCAAACCACACGCTGGTCCAAAACATGTCCGTCAACCTACAGATCCGCGCTCGTACTTCCTCCAGAGCATAGCTATTTCCGACCCCCTTTTGATGATTTTTCAATACGGGCACGCGCACCCGGGCGAGGGTATTATGTCGGGGGGCTTCGACAAGTTGTGCGCGTCCGTGGTGAGCAGTATGTCCGACTGCCTATATGCTGCTCCCTCTGCGGCAGAGAACTCGTTGAAGCGGACTGACCTTTTGTTGAGCCCCCCATGATAGATAGCGGCGTTCTACAAAAGCTTTCATAGTGCTGTGGTAAGCCAAGAGCGTTCAAAAGACTGTTTTCGGGCCCCCAAGGCGACATCCTGCCCTCGCCCTCAAACCCCTATCCCAGGAACCCAGACTTCTGGTCAAGGTGCGCAGCAATTCAGAGCCGTGACTGTCAGCTGCGACTCATCTTTCTCCGATATCTACATGGTGTGCTCAAAGTAGTGACGCGGACCGACGGTTGCCAACACATGCTGCTGCTAGTCATTCCAGACGGCTCAGTACTCCTCTGAAAGCGCTCTGACGATGCAGAGACTGAGAAATATGATGGACATGACTATGTACAGCCTGTACCGAGCCCCTTTGGTTTGCCCCTTTCCAATTCGCAAACGACATTGTGGCTTATTTTGACAAGACAGGCGTCAGGACCATCGCGAAGATTCCCTCAAGAACACGCATCACCAGGACAACAACTGATACCCACAGTCTTCATGTCGGTGTAGTCAACACGCAAAGACCATGCCCACATCCCCCAGA